AATTCATAAAGATTTGTTGATTTCGAAATTATAGTAATTAAATATTATATGCTTGTTGATTATTCAAACATTTGATTTTTGAAAGCCAATTTTAATAGGTTACGAATACAACACTAAAAAAGTGTTAAGTTACAAACTTTCACTGTGCAATTGCTTTGCCACACTGTAGCATCATCACACCCACTAGCAAAGCTGCTGGACTGATTTTCATTACACTGCACTGTTGTGCAAAGCCGAAGGGTACAGAGGATGATCCTTTAGAATTGCTCTTTTGGGACTAGATTTAGATAGATGGTGGTTGGGAAAAGAAAGATAGAACGGAAAATGAAAGAAGAGTAGTGAATGATTCTCTTAGAAATATAAAAATAATAAATATTATTACTTGACTATTTTCGCAATCAAAATATGTCAAATGTTCCTCATGAACTTAAACTTGTAGATTTCTCCACCATCAAATTTACCCATTATTTATCAACTGTAACCTTTTAATACTTAACAATATATTTTACCACTTGGTGATGCTACTGTGCATGTAGGGAAACAATAAATTGCAGTGAAAGCTAATAAATTCCTAAATATGCCTCTTATTGTAAATGTATTATTTGATACATTGTGATTACTGTTTATTATAAACTTACATTTTTTTCTAACTGTAAATATAATTTCTGCTATGTATGATAAGGGAAGGGGTTCTTCGGTGATAAACAGTACTCTGTCTCTTGAAACCTTGGCAAATAGAAGTATGTCTGTGAAAAGGAGAGTCCAATATTGTCTTATATTTCGCCCTTCTACCCTGAAAAGTTCTCCTCCAAATATCCAATGTCTTCCTGGCTTATTTAAAATAAAAGGCTGAAAAGAGACCTGTATTACACCTACAGGATAGTTAGTAGAACTTTAAGAAATATTTTTTTGATTGCGAAAAATTTAAACATTTTCAGACAGACAAGATGTCCAAATCGAAAGTTTTTGCGATATTTCTACCCTCATCGCAGTCGGTCCGTTTAATCCAAAATTATCGGCGATATTGTTTACGAAAAGAAAATAAGGATAAATAGCATTTGATCGACTATAGTACAGGCCCGGGCGGCCGATTTTAGAACTCTGTACGTAAAAAACTTGTCACATCCATTTGGGCTTCGAATGAGTCCTGTCTGGTGCGGATAGGACATCGTACTGCGGAGCTATGAAGTTTTAACCGCGGGTCTGCTTTTGAGCTTGTCTATTTTAAATTGACTGTCTGCTAGCCAATAGATGGAAAACTATAAGCTTTTTTAGAAAACTTTCTTAATAGACGTATCTCTCATCTCACCGCCAATGTCATGAGATGCCTGCGGACTTATCTGATCCTGTTAGAAAATTCAAAAATTTTAGATTTTTTTTTCTTCAAAATCAACTTTTGGTCGACGATAACATTGAAACGGTACGTCGTTAGAATTGTGGGTTTCTCTAGATAAAGTTAGTGACACACCCATCGGAATCGGACCATTCAATCCAATATTATCGGCAAAATTGTGGAATTAAGAAACCGACGAAATGAAAGTGAGAGTAAATAGGTTGAATTTGGTCTGGTATGGTGCAGGTCCGGACTGTCCGGCGTCAAAAATTTTCCACGTCTCCTAGGCCTCGAATAGTCCCGCGGATGACACGAGTCATAAGGATTTTANTTGTAGGACGACTTACCTTACACTTTGTGAAAACAAGGCGATTTTCTAAATCTTGAACGGAAAGTAATAGTCGCCCTTCACCCCCTGGTTCCATAAATCCAGCCTCTTTTGTTATATTTCTATAAGTCACCTTAAAAAGTAGTCCAACATTTAACTTCAAATGTTCTTTAATAATAATAATTAATTAAGTATAAAGGACATACTTGCATTTCCTTGACGATTTTGACTAGATGATTGTAATCGTCATGTTTGGAATTAGAATACCCTAATGCCGTACTAAACAAGTTCAAAATGTCCCTATAGTGCTGTAAAGGTCTGTGAATAAAGGCCGTGATGTCAGGTCGTTTTCTCGGAATAAGTGGCGTTTGTAGGAATCGTACGAATCCCGAGTTTGCATATTTTGTACGATCTGCCAAAACACAATCGGCCTTCTTGATTCCTGAGCAGTACTTCCTGTAGGCCGTAGTGAACTCTGCTAATTTCCTATAGAATGCAAACGGCACATTTTGGATGCTTTGTTCCCCGTCTTCTTGGACTATATTGTCCAAAATGTCTTCACTTATTTTTAGAATCTAGAAGTAAGTCATTTTTACATCCCAAAATTTCCTTCTGGAACTCTTTTTTTGAATAATTTAAATAATTAAATTGATAATTCTTTTATAGAGTTTGCCCTTTATTTTGACTATTTATACAGAAAATTCGTTTGTATAATCATAAATGTTATTTTATTTGGAAATCACATGAAAAGAAATACAAACTTTAGAAAATAATGATGAATAAAAAGTAGAAAAGTGCCCCAAAAACAAAAATCGTCATGGTTTTGAGTATTAAATATTGTCTTTTGAATCTCAGTAATTATTGTCTGAAAAATTTAAAGAAAATTAATAACCAGATTGAAAATTTTTTGATGTAATAGTATTTCGGTTGATTCCCAAACGGGTGCAATGTAGTAGGGCTGCAGCAACGTTTTCTTTTTGAATGCGAACAAAACGCATGTATTGTTCACGCGTTTTAACGTGACACAAAGTAAGCAAACCTGAAAACACCCTTGTAGTGGTTACTTTTAACGTTATTGACCTTTGTGTGCACCTGGTCTCTTTCATCCGCCTTAGCAAGTTGTCGAAAATGATAAAACTTTAAAGGGTGTTTCATTCCCATCAGCCAGTAATGCTGGTGGGCGGGCAGTCCCTCCAGACTATGCCGGAAGGTAGGGCGGAAGGCCCTGTTCAGCCTGCTTTCAGGAATCGGGAATGGGTGGGTGGTGGTTCGGGTGAGAAAGATGAGACGGACGAAATGAAGGCAGAAGAGAATGAAAGATTATCTGTGGAATATTACTGCCTCAGCATCTGCCTAGGTGATCCAAGGAAACCACAGAAAAACTTGGACCAAGGCAGACGGACTCGGAATCGAACCGGCGTCCTCCCGAATGCTAAGCAATGGTCTAAACCTATAGACCATGCGAAGAATGCACGTCATCGTCTTTTTAAAACTATAAACTGGTCAATGTGAGCTCTACTTCTTTTCCAGCGCAGTGACTGTTCTACTTTTATCGATTTTGTGTCACGGTAAATCGCGAGTACTATACATTAAAAGGCGAAAGCAATTCTACATTTTTCTTGTTAATAATGTCTTAAATTTATCAAACGAAATTACCTCTTCTAAATTTTGAAATAGTATTCTATGCTCCATTGGACTGAGGATGTCTCTTCTTTCAGCTAAGGGAAACAGAAACCTGTTGGTTCCAAATTGTAATTCCGTTACGTACGCTTGTTCCTTATTAATTATTTGATACAGGGTTTTTCTTCGGGCTTCTTCCGGATCCGTTATTGTTTTCTGTATTTTAGTTTTAAATAAATTAAAACATTGGTGAACTGATGAAAATAAAAACCGTTTATAAAATAAAACGATGAAAAACTAAAGAAAACATTTATTTAAATAAATAAACGGAAAACAATGCAAAGCAACATTAAATTAAACACAACACTGATAAAAACTAATAACTAGTCGTCTTTACATAAAATAAAATAGGCAAAACACAAAGGAAAAGTGAAACGGTCACTAGCTATAAATAATTTACATGTTTTCCTTGGGGGCTAACCAAAGCATTTAAAATAAATATAGGAGCGCACAAAAAATATTATAAACAATACAAAAATTAGTAAATTATTAAAACAATGGAAGAACGGTTCTCTAAACGCAGATGATAATAATATGGTAGATATTGGAAGAAAATTCATATGGAAATTACACCACTATACCATTACCAACCTCAGAACTAAACGTGACTTGGGGTAAATGCAACCTCTTCCGGTTGCAGTCGACGGAAGCAGGGTTGGTGGTATGGGTGGAGCCCACTGTAGACGGTCGATGATAGGTTAATGCCGACGAAGAAGTAAGTAACTTGCTAGTACTTCCGGAAAACTTATTCGCTTGGTGGTAATTAGGAGATGGGCCATTTTTGGACGGATGTCTTCGAAATATTTCTAAAGTTAACTGATTGCCACATGACCTACGAATAAATAAAATAGAATTCAAAATTTGAGACGCAAAGCTGTAGTAGGGGAGAGCTAATGTACATAACTCTTTTGAGCATATGTGGCTCCGACAGGGTGAACTTAAGTCACCCTATATGATTCAGCTGGAAGGAAACGTGTCGCTATTTTTTTGGCTACAACTGAATTTGTTCATATTTTTACAAAGTTTTGTAATAAATATTGAGGTGTTATTATGCGAGTAACTAAATATTTTTGCAGTATTTTCAACTCCAGATGGTAACAGTAGTATCGGAGTTTGGTATAAGATACTTTTCATTGTCGTCACTGTTTTAGGTTAGAAGTACTTGGTTTAAGTACAAAATATGTTTTTTGGAGTATTTTGATGTCGAAGATGCATCACGTTCGGGAAGGCCGGTTGAAGCTGATAAAGACGCCATAAAGGCATTAGTTGATGTGAACCGGCGAATAACAACACGTGAGATCGGATTGAGGTTAAATTTATCAAATTCAACAGTTTATGACCACTTGAAAGGCCTGGGATTATCCTCGAAGCTCGATGTATGGGTTCCCCATGTTCTCACAGAGAGAAATCTGTGTCGCCGCATTGACGTCTGCGATTCGCTTCTCAAACGTCACGAAAATGATCCGTTTTTGAAGCGCATCATCACTGGGGACGAAAAATGGGTTGTATACAACAACGTCAAACGCAAGAGGTCATGGAGCAAAAAAGATGAACCGGCTCAAACCATTTCCAAAGCCGATATTCACCAAAAAAAGGTGATGCTGTCTGTTTGGTGGGATTTTAAAGGAATCGTTTTTTTTGAGCTTTTACCGGATAACACAACGATTAATTCGGAAGTCTACTGTCATCAGCTGGACAAACTGAATGATGCACTTCAACAGAAAAGGTCAGAACTAATCAACAGGAAAGGTGTAGTGTTTCACCAAGACAACGCGAGACCTCACACAAGTTTGGTCACTCGCCAAAAGCTTTTACAGCTTGAATGGGATACAATGCTACACCCACCATATTCTCCAGACCTGGCACCATCGGATTATTATTTGTTCCGGTCACTCCAAAATTTTTTAGACGGTAAAACCTTCACCTCAAATGAGGAGGTCAAAAACCTCCTCGATCAGTTTTTTGCCAGCAAAGACCAAAAATTTTATGAGCGTGGAATTATGCTACTACCAGAAAGATGGCAAAAGGTGTTGGACCAGAACGGTCAATATATAATTTAATAAAGTATTTGTTTATTATACGAAAACTGTCTTTCATTTCCACAAAAAAAAAAACGAAATGACTTTCCGAACAACCCTATAGTATCGATATGGTACATCATGTTATGTTCAGTTTTAACATGAAATTTTGAGTCGATCGCTCGTGCAAATAAACCAGGAACTTACTTAATGAGATTCAAGATATCGACTTCCGGCATCATGACGACGTTATGCTTATCAACGAAAATGATATAATCTCCCGGCATCATCCCGGCTTTCTCTGCAGGCGATCCCTTTTCTATCCTCTCGACTCGAGGCGGGTGCGTCCAGACGACTGAAAAGCCGAAGCTCGTTTTAGGGATCTTCGTTAATATTTTAGTGGATGTAAACGGCGTCCTGCCACTTTTATTCCCGGTCGCTTTCCTTTGCGTGGCAGCGGGAATTGCTTCTGGTCCCTCCATTGGATCCAATTCTAGATACCTGGTAGAGAGACATGCAACAAAAGAGTCAACATTGAAAGCTATTTCACAAAACCAACAGTCTCCTCGTGGTAGAATTTCTAAGCGATCTCTTAGTGCGTAATATAGACTTGAGAATTGCCTTTTTATATCTATCTATATACTGAGTGTCTCGAGAATCTTTGGGAATATCTAAATGTTGATAAATAGAAAGTGATCAGTATTGGCATAGTATACACGAATTTATTCAAAAACTAATAGCAATTGTACACTGTAGCTACTTGTAGAGGTGGTTCAGAATTCTATGAGCCTTGCTCTTGCGCGGCGCAATCATTAAACTTCGTTGACTCATTGATTTCTACCTGTCAAAAACATCGACCGTCATGAGAAGGCTCATGAGATTTTGCAGTACCTCTAACACAGGTAATCATGAAAAAAATGCACTGAGAATAGATCGTAACCTCATAACAATTCAGCATTGCTTGTTAGAGTATCCATGGGATATTCTTAAATTCTTTTTATTTTCTGAGGACTTGAATATAATTTTGTAATACTCCAAAAATGATTTGAAACTACTGAAATAGCTTTAATTTTGGTTGTCGTTCTGCCCAAATTTTTAATAGTACAACAACATCCCGAACAATAATTGGGGATTACCCAATGTTTCCAGGAGGTGGAGGTTGAATGGCGAGTCAAAAATTGTCCGAATAGACACCAAGTATTTCTGTAAATAACTCAAGATTGAGACCTCCTAGAAGCAAATTGTACCTACTGAATTTTCGTTTGTTCTTTTAGGTAGTGATGATTTGATTAAAAGAATTCTAATTTATTTATTGAAAGACCCACGTTATAGTTAGCAACTTTAAAAAAGTTTTTCAATTTTTCGGTCAATTTTTCAGTTATTGGATCACCATTAATGTTACATTTATCTTAATAT